ACATTTTACACTGTAACCCAGGACAATCATATAACGGCATATAGAATATTGGGAGTTATTTCATACTGGATAAACTGAGTCTGGAGAAAGAAAAAAGATGCTTTATGAATGGTTCTGCTTTAATACCTATGATAAACTGCAAATAATGATTCAGCTGGTCTCCTTCCAGTCTTATATTCCTGCTAGTGGAGGAAACACAGAAGTGCATATAAAAAGCTTCCTGCGCTAGTCCTGAAGACTGTCATTTCTGCAATATTAGATGGAATGTGAAATACAGTGAGCAGTCCTAATGGTGCTCATCTTTTTAACCAGTTTGTACAAAAACCAGAAAACATTTTCATGGCGGTCGAATCAATACCAGGATAAAATAGTGCCCTAACAATAGTGAAGATTTTAAACTTGTATAGTTAATGTAAAAGTAAATTTAAGAAACAATTTCAATACCCCACATGATTCTAATTTCTATAAGCAATTGAAACTATTTTTCCTGTAATGAGCTTGAAGGGAAATTGTCCCTTGTTTCTTTTTTTTTTTTCCTAAGAAATTTTTGAAGCACAGAAGACACAGTAACGAGAATATTTTTTCTCTTTGCAGCGTATCCATTTGGACATTAGAGTTGGAGAACATCTTTTGGATGAATCCGTTGTCCAAGCCAAAGACAAAGTGGATGAAGTCAACTTAAGACTAGAACATCTAATTGAGCAAATTAATCACGTAACCAAAGAACAAAACTACGAAAGGGTATGTATGCTCCCTAATGGAAGTGTTAAAAATATTGTACATGGGCTTATTGACTTAGAAAGTGTTATGAGATTTATGGTTTAATTGCAGTGTTATTTTTAACTAAGTCATAACAATCTCTTGGTATTTAACCAATACAGCATACATGACCTTGCAAAACATTTCTAACATAAAAACTAGTTAATGTCTGGGAGCTCACGCCAGTAGCAACAGGTGTTACTCTAAACCAGGAATTTCCAAATATAGTTTTCTTGGGCAGTCAGTAACATCAGCTGAGCAGGTGGCAGGTATCATTTTTGATGTTTCCAGCTGTTGTATCCGTGCTGGTCTGTGTGCATAAACTTCACTGGAGCTGGTAAGAAAATGACTGAGTGTATAATTATGTATCTCCATGCAGTTAGAAATAAAGCCCTCCTTCAGACAAGTGTCCATCTGTTGTCTTCACTTTGCTATACCCATGCAGGCAGTCAGACTGCATTTGAAATATGCCAACTAGTTACCTAAAAAAAAGGTATTTGACTGCAAAAAAGTTCTTGACTGCAATATGAAAGTGGCTGTAAACCTAAAAAGGCTTAAGCCTGATAATTCGCAGAGTGTATCTTCTGTGAACAAGGGAAAGCTCTGTTTGCCCTTCTGCTTCAGGATACAGTGTGACTGCTTCTTAGCTTTGATTTGTAAATGTACCCACCTTATCGATAAGAAAAAACCCCATTTTTAGCACCATGAAAGAAGTGTTTGTTCACTACTTTGTAGACTAGGGTTGCCTGTCTATACCTGGATACCAGCATGAAACACACAGATGCCAAAGGTAATAATTATGCTTTTCCTTTTTTCTTTAGGAGCGTGAAGAAAAATTTCGGAAGACGAGTGAAGAAACCAACAGCAATATTTTGTGGTGGGCTATTGTGCAAACACTAATCCTCATCTCCATTGGAATCTGGCAAATCAAATCTCTCAGAGATTTCTTTATATCCAAGAAGCTGGTTTAAGGCTTACAAAGTAAATGCACAGATTAAAAAATTGCTCACCATGTAGCACCTAACATCCAAAGGAACCCTGTATCTCTGAGAAAATCGGTAGTATATAACTCAAGCTTCTCTTGTCTTCTGCTCCAGTTCTTACTCTAACTCTGGTTTCTCCATCTATATCACAACCTCTGGCAACCCCTCATGTTTTACTGCTTGAATCCCATCTTTTATCAGTTTTTTCCCCTCTACAGATGTAAAGCTAAATCTAGAAGAAGGACTCAGTGACTAACGCAGCACTTAAGTTCAACTCAGGACTGTTAAATCTAAAATAGAAATCTAAAAAAAGTTTCTTAGTATTTTGAATTTCTCTACCTGCTTAGAAATTTAATTTGGTGCTACCACAAACAGTTCAGCATTTCAAACTAGGATTCAGATAGTAGGCAGAGAAACAACTATATCCCCCGTGGTGTTTAATTCAGTGAGAGTGTCTTGAACTCAACCCACGTATGTGTAACACCTAGCTTTTCCTCAAATATAATTGTGAGTGTTTTCTTTAAAATATTCAAAGTTTCAAGTGACAGTGGAGCCGACCCTTAAGATTATGATCTGTGGTTGCAGCAATTACCATGGAAGAGAGAAAAAATTGGAATTGTACATACTTTTTGTTTCCAGATAAGTCCTAAACATTAGGCTATAGAGTTGAGATCAGCCCTCTCCCACAGTTGTTTGTGTGAATTATAATTTTGTAAAGTATGCTGAAGTAAACCAAATTACAGGTTTCTTGATAAACACTGAATTTGTGCCTATTTTAAGCTAGTCCTACACTAAATTCTTTAGTCGGTTTCTGTGTTGGAGAATTATTTTTATTTTAATTACTTAGCAACTGTAACATGACCATCTAAGGAACTTACTAGTTTTTGACTTAATTGTGTATTTCCATTTCACTTAATGCAGCTTAGTTGAATATATCTTCATGTATTAATTTAGCTAGTTTATGTACAACTAACAGAGTAGCTATAGTATCATGCAACTACAAGTCAAAAGCTGTGGTTAAAAATTCAGATAATTAGCTTGACAAAGCAGCAGTAGTATAAGAAGGACTTGGAGGTGGTTACAACATGACCCATATCAGCACTTGGTTAATATGTAAAAACATGAAACTTGAAGTTTCTAGAGAGCCCTGTGATAGCAGGATATTGTGGTTTGGCTTCCTATTTGTCTTTCCAGACCCTTCACTAGTCTAAAAGGCAGTGAAAGCTCAAATATCTGTAGACCAATTATTGTTTTAAAGGCACTGCTTGCTTTCTTTTTTCCACCCTCTCACCTTTTGTTTTCATTAGCAAGGAAACAACATTGCCCTTTAAGTTCACTTACGTTTACAGTATGTGAATGAAAATAACGCTATGAGTATCTAAGAATCCATAAAGTCGATACAAAGTAGAGACAAAAAGCAGTGCTCTACAGACAAAATCAATCAAAATAAAATTCCATAAAGCTACTCACTGAGGTGTGTCCTATATTTAAAAATTCTGAGACTTTAGGGTTGTCATTTGAAATGCCCAGTAAGTGTTATTAAATTCACTTTTACAGAGCACTCACTTACAACATGTCTTGTAATATTATCTTTGGTAGTGGGAAAGAAGGAAAGATGTGTTACAACCATATGGTATATGAAGTCCAAGAAGAAAGTTTAATAAAGGGTTGCTACAAGGTTGTGGTTCAGACTTTAGCTGATATTTACTGTAAGGCTCCTAAATGCATCCCAACGACAAACTTATCTCACTTACAAGACACTTAAGCTTTTAAACCAAAAGGACAGGCACCATGGCAGAATTTATAAGGGAGCTGATTGTGTTGCTCTGTATTAATTTGGTTTATACTCCAACCAGCACTGTGACTTAAGAGTGCTTCATTCTTTATCTATAATAATAATAATTAAATATCTTTGCTTTGATTAAATGTTTTCCATTTCCTTCAAGACTTTTAATTAACTCTGTAAAGCAGAAGCTGAATCATAGCTCATTTGGGAAGAACTTTGAGGGCAGTAACCTTTATGATGTTAAAAGCCAGAGGTTCTTCCTATGCAGTCTGCGGCTCTGTCGTACCCAGAGCTACAGCCTGCACTGCAGGTAGGTCTGTAAGGGAATTTTCCCCTAAAATTTTCATCAAGGGAAATTATCAAGGCCTGGGTGTTTTTCAGTCCAAGAAATGAAAATCAGAACTCCTTGTTTTGCTTTTTTTCCTCACCAAGAGAAGCAACAACAAACCTGCAACAGTAAACTAGCAACCTTCCCAGATCCCTGCATTTAAAAGAGTGAAAAAACCACTACCGCTTCCCGCACACCTGCTGTCCTGATGGCCACCCCTGCTCACGGCCGCCTCTGTGAGGAGGACAGGGCTTGTGGTAAAGCACCTACCCAGAGCCCCGGTGGCTGGTTGCGTTTGGGGAAGGGAGGGTGAAATCTCCCAGAGAGGACCCCTGCGTGGGCACCTCTCCAGTTTGGTAGGGAGGGGTCAGAAAAACACCCTTTTTTGGGGTGTGAGGGTCAAACTCTGATGCCCTCAGGCCCCGCTGGGGTGGGGGAGTGGGAGAGAGCCGCCACCCCTCACCTCAGGGCCTGGCAGTGCTTCAGGCCAGAGGAACATGGCGGAGGGAGGCCTGTAGGCCGCACCCCGGGGGTGGCAAGGAGGGTCAGCGTCTGCCTCAGCCGCCTCCTCCCTGCCGGGCACTCCTGCCTCTCCACCCCATGTCCGTGCAGGTCTTTTGCAATGTCTGCTTCTGCGAGCCCCGCAAGCCCACCCCACGGTTCAGCCTCACAAGCTGCGGCCACGTTGTCTGCGAGATCTGCCTCCAGAAAGGTAATGGCTGCTGCAGGCAGGGGGGCTCAGCCCTCTGCTTCAGCGGCTCAGGCAGTGCTGGCGTGTACATGTTTACCTTAACCATTAGCATTTCTGACTCCCTGTGGAAAAAAGAAAAGCCTGAGCATTTCTTCTTGTCAATAGAATGTTACTGATAAACCTTTCCAATTCCTGCTACTGATTTTCTTTAGGTAGTAAAACCCACCTGTGTCTGCCTCCGGGTGGCTCTGACTGGAGCAATATGGCTTTGAGAGCAAGCCTTAGACACACAAAACTGGAGGCTTTAATAAAAGTTGAGTCCGGTTGCTTATGGTCCACGATTGTACTGTGAAAAAAATGGGATGGCATTCTGTTCTGTCTAATGTGGGAAAGGGCATACTTTTTCATTACTGAAAGAGCAATTTGTAAACCATAGGATTTGTTTAGAACAGGTTTTGCTAACAGTCTCAGGACATTTTAAATCCCAATATTGTTACTGAAATAGTAGAAAATTTCCACCAGCATTAGAAGGATTGGAGGTGATGTTTTGAAGCTCTTGTGTGTTATGTGGAATTCCTGAGTCATATTCTGGGACTCCCATGATGTGTTTGGATGAAGATTTTTGGAAAAGACAGTGGAATAAGGAAGGTGTTTTTTTTTAAAAAAAAAAGCAGACAAATATCAATGATCTTCCCTTTGAGGACATATGAAATGCTGTGGGTTTTGTAAGGGCACACAGAATAAATGATTGATGTCTATTTCAGAATTAAAAATTTTTGACTAAAAGTTTTCACAGAGTTGCTGTTGAGGAGAGACAATCATAAGATGCAGCCTCTAAACTTACTGTATTTGTATTGTATTAATATTGTTTGGCAGAAAAAAAACCTGAGACATTAAGCATTTTTTTGCTGTTAATTCAATAATAATTATGGTATTAAAATGTATTTACTCTTTGAAGAAGTTCATGAACATTGATCCTTAGAATCCTTAGAAAGGAAGCAGATAGTGAAATTACCAAATATACATATTGTAGGAATATGTATTTACTAGAAATATTTGCTAATATGTTTGCAAATAATCAAATAGGACTTTTAAAAATGATAAAGTTTTAAAAAGTGATTTGATGAATTTTTCACTGGAAAAATTCACAAGTTAAAACTATTAATTCTCTGAAGTTAAGGTTTCATGTATTTTATTGAGAGTCAGACTGGGCCCCAATCTAAAAAATCGTATATCTTGTTGACTCTAACTCATTAATGCACTTAAACATGGATTTAATTAAACCAGGCAAATAGTCCTATTTAAATCAACAGAACTAAAAGTCACCTGCATTCAATGACACTAATGATATTCATAAAATCATTTACATGAATGCTTAGTTGCAATAGTAAGACCTGATGACATTCATAGACATTTTCCCTGTGCAACTGTGTGTAATGGATATAGAATCAAATTCTTTATTCATGTTTATCTGCATTTCTTGTATAACCTTCAGATTCCTTCCACGAGCTCCAAACAAAGGTTTAGGCATCAAATTCTATAAAAAATGTATTCAATATCTATTCAGCTTGAGGTATATTTTGAATGTGTCTTTACCTTACAGGCAAAAAAGATGAATGTTTGATCTGTAGAAGTCCTTGTCGTACATTAGTCCTTTCAAAACAGGTAAATGAAGCTTTAGTATTGTTGTATTACATTAATCGGTAGTTTGCTTAACAGCTAAATTATTTGCATTACAAAATACTTCTCTTTTGTTTGCCAACTGTGACATGAATATTTACTGATGATAGGTTGGTAGACTTAGATACTTATGCACTATATAGCTTTTAGTTTTATGGATTTCTTCAAATAAAAGCCTATGGAGACTTGTTCAGTTTTCAGATTCTGACGGACTGTAAATCACTCCAACCTTTTCAAGAAATGTGACTGGCTATTGTGTAACATCAGTGACTACTTTCAAAATGTGGAAAAATGTTTATTGACTTCGGCATTTGTACATCAGATAAAGCAGACTATAATGAATTATTTCATGTAATGGACTGAGTAGAAAATCTGCAAGGTGGTTCATCGATGTTTTCAAGTGTATTGGGCTTTTTTTCTGTTTTCTCTTAAGCTTAACTATTTTCCTCACGGCCATGGGATTAAGAGAGTGTCTGAAATGTTGTTGAGAATTCTTGTTATTCACTAGCTTTTAATTCCCTTTTTTGAGAAATCATTAGAAAGATTTAATTTTCCCATTTCTCCCAGGAACCATCTTTTCCTTAGCTGATTTCATAAATGGTTTGTGAAAACAATTATATTTTCCTAGACTGATGCCTACCTAAGAGACAAGCCTGCCTTACAATGATAGAAGAAAAATACTAAGAGCATTCAATACAGCTAACGCATAAAGTTCTACAAGGCTATAAGGCAATCGTGTATATGAAACACAGGACAATTTGGAACTAACCCTGAAGGAGGTGACCTTGAAGAAGGGCATGCTTTCTGTAGATATGTTTAAAACTGAGCTGATGTATATCTAAAACTCTACCTTTACATACTCTAGATAAAAAAGTAAAAAACTGTTACACTAAATTTCCTATTTGTAAACACAGAATCTTGCAGAACTGAAACAGGGTGAAGAAGACAACGCTACGAAAAATAAAAAATTGTAGCAAAAATAAAAAATTGCAGCAAAATTACAGCAAACATAGTAGAAAGGAGCAATGCACACAGTAATCAAATAATAATTAAAAAAAACCCTCATCAAATTTCTAAAGGAGGTATTTTAATAAGCTTTCAATATCAGCCTACCCTGGCTGCAAATTTTGTTATTAATTTCAGTCACAGAATAATTTAGTTTGTCAGGGACCTCTGGAGGTCATCTTATTTAACACCTTGTTCAAAACTAAGAAGCTAATTTTGAAGTTAGATCAGTCTTAAATTGCAGCATTTCAACAGAACTTGATAATTTGCTTCAAAAATACTGTGGGAATTTAAAACTGCAGTGATTGGGATACTAACAAAAATATTAGATGTTTCATTAGAACCTGCCACTGCTCTGGAGGACTGGAAGGAAGCAAATTACCATATTCTTTAAAAAAGACATTCATGATGATTGCTTAGTCTTGATTAAGAACAGATAAAATGATTGGAATGATAATTAAAGATGCATATAAAAAAGTCATGGCTCTATAATTCAGGAACTTGAGTGGAAATATACCTGGTAACCTTTATGAGCTTGATGCTACGGAAGAATTCTCAATGAGTAGGAGGTCCTATAAATGTGTTAAAACTCCTCGTTAAATTGTATATTGGGGCAATCAACATGTACACATTAAATATTCTCATCTTTACAGCAATGCATGTTTGTCACCTTTATATCTTCCTTCTGTATCTCATGATCACCACTTGCTTTTTCCCAGAGGATGGTTAAGTGTTATGATAAATCAGAATGTCGCTGTTCATTATTTCAGAATATGGTATTAACATCTGCTACTCCTCCATGGAACAGATCAAATATAAAGTGTCCTACAAACCTTTATTTTAAAGTTTTTACATCAGCAATAAAGCTGGTTGGTTTTTAATTTTTTCAGATCTGACAGGTATTTAAACCAAGGTCATTGCTTTGTTAGGGTCCTAAACGGATTTCTAGAGCTTGCCTCCTATTAATGCATTTTAAAGATGCCAAATGTGTTTTTATGGATACATTCGTTTTTCTAGATGAAACTTTATTGTCTTATTTGTATTTTCTTTACTTGAATAGCATGGATAGGTTAGACTGTGCTATCTGTCTATCTGCTTTTCTCTTTCTCAATCTGCCTGTTCACCCTGTGGAAATTTTTGAATGCTTTGGCTAATGTCAACCAGATTCAAAAGAGCAGAGGAAGTCTCAAATACAATTAATTTCCTCCTGTGAGTTCTATAAAAATTCGTAGCTGGGGAAAGCAAGGAAAAGCAGTTTAGTTCCTCTGGTGAAAGAAATGCAAGTACAGCTCATCAATAGTGAGAAGTGCATTTGGCAGCCACATGCACAGCTCTACAGTAACCAACCAGGGCACGCCACCTTTGCTCAGATGAATTGCTACATAGGACATCGAAGTAGCTGATGTCAGAATATGGGGAACAAAAGATATAAATCCGTCGCAAATCCAGGTTATTAATTTAGCTCATGTAATTATTTTTCATACATACGAGACTCAATTCCCGCTTATTATTAAAAATATATAAAATAAACACACGTTGAAAATAGGTTTGGCAAATACAGCTGTTACGTAGTCTTGGTTATTTGACTTTACATTAGTGTTATACTATTTTTGGAGTAGGCAAAAATACTCTCTATATATGTTTGTGCATTTCCAAAAGGAGCAAATGTTAATTCTTTTTTGATTTCAATGCAATATTTTTAATTTAATTGACATCACATACCTTCCTATTTTCTTAGTAACCTAGAAAACTGTTGCTTCATTCAGGTGGCCTACTTCTTATATCTTTCAATAATTCACCTTTCTTTAATTTTTCAATTTTTTTAAACTTTTTGAGATTCTTTAGGACTTCTAGAATGAAATTATATTTTAGCTGCAACAGTTCCAGTTCTTTTTGACTGGATTCTGAAAGGTTGTTCCCTACATGAGAGATGCTTTTTTTCTGGGAAAATCTTCCTTTATCATCTAAGTATCTTGTGATTGCTTTTGCTTCTTTATTCAACTTTTGGCTAGTTGTAAACCTACTTCCTATCACACAATCACAGTAAATCAATGAGAGCCTTCCAGTTTACAGTTTACAGGTAGATGTTGGGGTTTTTTGGCTAATTTTTAAAAGCTATTTGCTGTTGCAGTAGGGGATAATTGAAATACGATCACTGTTAGTTCTTAGCATTATAACTATTTTAACTTAGTTCTGTAACTAGTGTAACTATTTTGGGGTTGTATTTTGTTTGCTTTTCTTATGAATAAATCAGGTATACATGTACTCTGGATTAAAGTTGCATGTAAAAAAGTTATCTACATTGTTTTGCAGATTTGGATATTCTGAAATTGACTGTATATTTCGTAGGATTTCTTTGTCATCATAAATAATAACTGTATCTTTATTACAATGATAGCTTAGGTACAGAGCTCTTACTCAGCATTTTCTAAAACCACAGACGGTCATTTGTGAGGCCACATCATGGTTTCTGATTAAAAGTTTCAGTTGAAAAATTTGATTATCATTTTAGGGCTTTTGTCTCATAATAGGATGGCATTCTGCCACCCCACAGCAGGAGATATAAAGGGATCCCAGTCAGCATTGGAACTATTCCAAAAAAGGACTTTGAAACAAAACTGCTTATAAGATGCATCAGTGTGGCTGGGGATGGTGAGAACCAAAAATCCCAGAAAGGGACAGCCAGAAACCTGGCTGTTGATCTGAAGGCAATGCCTTTTCCAGGGGACCACAACATCTTCCTTGAATGTCCTCTGGAAATTGTTATTGTCTTGGTTACAATGAGTATGTATGTGTGGAATATATTTAAACAAAAGCACAAAGACTTCCAGGTGGTTAGTAAGGGCATTAAATAAAACCAGGCTTGTTTCCAATTTCTATATCATCCTACTCTTGATCTGTCTGTTTTTTTATTTATATACATCGATCAATTCACAAAATGCTTTATTTAATATAACTTGCAAATAAAAATGCTAACCTTGGTATACTTTCTTTTCTTGGTAGACAAGTCCTGATATTCAATCACTATTCATGGGAATAGATACCTTATGCAAAAAATATTCAAAAGAAATAACACAGGTGAGTCTTCTTTAAAACTTTATAACTCTATAAAATAATCAGCAAAATATAGGAGTGAATGCTTGAAAATTAATGTATGCCATTACCATCTTTACTTCCTTAATTCCACAGTTTCAAAGTTCTTAAGAAAGCGTAAATTATTCACCACAGTCATTGTTTATATTTTCAAACTCTCTCTGAGGACCACTACTCTGGTTATTTTAATGCTGTAAAATCACTTTCAATGCCATGCAATGAAAAATTAGATCTGCTAGAACCTTAAACATGCCCAGACAGTGAGCCTAATTATAGCAATAAAAGTTACACAGTGAAAACCTGAGCTGGCTAAAGTCCTGACCTGAATGCGCTCTCTCTCTTTTTTTTTTTTTTAATTTATTTTTTTAAGCTCAAAACGAGTCTGCTTTTTTAGACAGATGAAATAAATGATTCCAGGGTAAGTTTTCTTCCTGCCTTCTGTAAGCTCCAGGCAGCATCCCTTCCTTCAGGCTTAGTTTCCAGTCCAGAACTTTAGTAGCTGTCCGGGTTAAATGAATACCTATGAACTCCCGTTGCCTCCTCATTTTCTGCATCTCTTCAGCTTGGCTTTGAGACTTGTCCTTGTCCCTTTTACTCAGCATTTCAGTGGTACTTTCAACCACTCTATGTTGAACTGTAGTAGTACATTCACTGAAGCCATCTGCAGCCTTCATTGTGTATCCTCGTCTCACTTGGGCTGGTACTTGTTTCATCTTGTGGTGAGCTTCTTGATCCAGCAGAAAAGTAACCCAGGGAAGCTCACCCGCTTTCTTCAGTAGATTCACATTTGCTCTTCTTTATGCTTCACAAATTTCTCTACAGCTGACGGTGGTCACTTTCCTCAGGACTCCTCCTCCTGAGATACATAAGGTAAACAAGAAGCCTTCCTCTGTCTTTCCATACACACTCTTTAGCAACATGTACAATGATCAGCTGTATTTCTGTGACCAGAACAAAGTCAGACAGCTGTAACACCAATCACACGTAGATACAAACTACTGCAATGTATCAAAGAAAGGAAAAAGAGGACACGATCTCAAAAGATTAAGGTGGATTTTCTGCAGCCTGACATAACCTGTGGGAAACATACTGAAGTGTAATTAAGGCGTTAATACCAGCATCAAAAGACATAAGAGCAGCTTGTGCTCTGTTAGGGCCAAGGTTTATCTGACCTATTACTCTGTCACAACAGCGGGTGCTTAGGAAAGCATACGGTAGCAAGGCTGGCAAGTAGTGATACGTCTTCAGAACAGCCTCCTAGCTTTCAACACTTTGTGGCATGAGGATTTCTCAAGGTGCGGTTGGTGCCTTTGCCTTCAAAGACTTTTGGTGGATATTTTTCCCCATGTAATTGTCAAATTGTTTTCTGAATATTTAGCATCTCTCACATACTATGGAAGGGAGGTCCATAGGTTATACACTGTGTGATGATGATTGCCTTTTCCAGGTTTTAATTTGCTACCTACTAGTTTCAGTTGATACTCTTCTATCTCATTCTAGGGGAAAAAGTAACCATTCCCATGCACTCCACCTGTGCTAATCATTAGTTTTAGACTGCTAACCATCCCTTTGTCAACTGTCTTTTTTGTGGCCATGAAGACTCATATTCTATGTGATCATTCTTCTACTGAAGCTCTTACATAGCTCTGATTAATCCGAACTATTTCCAGACCTACTGTATCCTTTCTGTGATATTAAGCAGACTCGGGATACAGTAACACATATTTTTTAAAGTGCAATGATGATGTTCCTTATTCTATGCCTTTTGTAAACACTTGTAAGTCCTGATTTGCTTTTTTGACTGATACTGAGCACTGAATTGACATTTTCACAGATTTCTCCTTTATAGACCCTAGACCTCATTTCTGAGTGACGGGAGGCAGCTCAGAGCCATTGCTTTCTGAGTGGTTGTTTCTTCCATCAGTTCTTCTGAAGGGACTTCTGCTCCTTTGATGAGTTTCCAATGTGAACCTCTCAGGGTCTACTACAATGAATATAAAGTAACCATTTAAAATAGATACTCTACTACGGCGTTATCTTCTCAGAGTGTTTCTTCTCAGCTGTCTCTATCCCTACGCATTTTCTGGCAGTTTTCTTGCACATGAGAAGCAAGATTTATTAGTAAGTTGCCGCCTACTGTAATTTGCTCCTCAAGCTCTTGTCTTGCCTATGTTGTATGTTTTTACTTTTAACCTGCCATGGTTTATGATCCTCATTTGGATAGAAGAAGTGCTTACACACCACCAGACAGTGTGTCTAACAATTATTTTTTAATTAATAGGAGATTTTTACAAGGCGAGTTATAATTACCAGTAAGACACATTACTTTTTATGTTGCCATTAATTTTATGTGTTTGCTTAGCACTAATGAATAAGAAACACAAGAGCTAAACTGGCTTTCCAATGTCTTTGCCTTGTTATTGAACATAGTGTTAAAATATAAATTCAGTGAAATAAATCTACCAACTCTAGGGTAGGCCATACTAGATTAAATAAACTTTATAAGACATTCACTATTAGTGATAATAGCTTGGAATATTTTGTTTATTATTTAAAGAAGACATGTTAAATACTTATTAAAATATAGATGTATTTGAATACTGTGAAGTAGTTCTCCATCATTGTTTTGCTGAGATTGCATAAGTGTAATTAAGTGAAGCTTGATATAACTGTATTTATTTTTAGATTTCAGAATTTCAAGAAAAACATCGTAAAAATTTATTAGCATACCACAGACAAAAGGTAACTCTAATTGAGATTTTCTTATTTTTGTTCCTTATGTTTGCTTCATTACTTTGGTTTACTTTTATAAATTATATTCACTTTTTATTGGAATACTTAGAATATTTTCTCAGGATTGCCTCATTTCTATCATGATAAATAACAGATTTTAGTTGTTTAAAATCCATGAGGACTTTATTAATTATGGTAACTATTATTTAATAAAACAGATTTTAGTTGTGGGGTGACTGAGATTAAACGGAGAGTCAAAGGACAAGGAGAGAACAAACTAATTCTCTATATGGAGAAGAAAGTGGAAGAGGTGGGCAGAGACTGGTACTCAGATGATAAGCTTAGAGGTGAAGACTAGGGCTGACGAGCTAAATGAGAAGCTTGAGCAATGGAGAACAAGACCAAGGGCTAGAACCCTGAATTAGGGATAGCTCAATGGGAAGAGGAATAGAATTATTCTGTGGAGAAGAGGTACTGAATTTGTGGCTATGCCTCTTCCTCTGTATGTTGGAAAGAAAATGTCTTTTTCATTTCTTATCTACTTCTAAATATTTGATAAAACAGTTGGCTATTTCATTCATTTCTAAGGACATGAAATGTGTGGTGAGTTTGACATGCTGGAGGGAAGGGAGGCCATCCAGAGGGATCTTGACAGGCTGGAGAGGTGGGCCCAGGCCAACCTCATGAACAAGGCCAAGTGCAAGGTCCTGCACCTGGGTCAGGGCAATCCCCAGCACAGATACAGGCTGCGCAATGACTGGATTGAAAGCAGCCCTGCGGAGAAGGACTTGGGGGTGCTGGTGGATGAAAAGCTGGACCTGACCCAGCAAAGTGCGCTCGCAGCCCAGAAAGCCCATGGCATCCTGGGCTGCATCAAGAGAAGCGTGGCCAGCAGGTCTAGGGAGGTGATTCTACCGCTCTACTCGTCAGACCTCACCTGGAGTGCTGTGTCCAAACATTCTTGCTGTGTCCGGAGCAAGAATGATTTACAGTATAAACAGTTTGGCAAAAGGCAGTGACCCCTGGAGAGGTGAGGAAGCACGAATCTACCTTTTGATACAAGTGTTTCTTCCTGCCACTCTCCCCTCTGCAGGTCTTGGCCTTTAGGAAAGAGGAGTACTGCATAAGGAAATTCACAACTTGGTTCTCATGCTTGTCTATCTTCTTTGTGATCTCCTTCCTTATTTCTAGCATGTCATCCTTGTCACTGTCAAGCAGCAGCTCTCATGACCTTGATAAATGCTTCTTTGTTGCTGTTGCTGTGAGTTGTACGGATACTGGGGTGCAGATGATGGTGTGTGGTGTGGGCACTTGATGTCCACATTCCTGGCAAGTCTAGACCCCGTGTTGTGCTAGGACCCGAAGATACTGAAAACCAAATAGTTACTCACCTTCTGCAAGGCATTTTGGCCTTAAAATGATCCAGTCCTACAGAGTGACAGGGTAAAGTACATTGTTCCTGACAAAAAGAAAAATACAAAAAATCAGATCTTATGTAAATTAGATTCTGTCTTTAACGTGTTTTGCAGTTTCACATCTGCAAAAAGAGCGTAGTATCTCCTAAAACAATATGATCTTATAAAGGTATATTTTATATCAGGTAATGTTATTAAAGAATTCAAATAATATTGTGAGGAGAAGCATGAAAAGTTAACAAGAAAATTCATAATTTGTCTTCAAATCAAAATATGAATAGTGTGAAGTAATGAAGGGCTAAGGTCACACAATGGCAATTAAGGATAAATATAGATGCAGTATTGAGGCTATTGAGTAAATTTTTACATCCTTCATAAAGTATAATGTATGATCATGTAATGAAAGGCTGTAAAAAATACACATACTAGGGAACTGACCTAATGTTCTCGACCTTAATGTTCTTCAATTTTGCAAGCTCATAACATTCTTTAATGGAGATATTTTTGGTTGTGTCTGTAACAAAATAGGAAATACTCTTTCACATAAGCTTCTTACAAATAGATACTGCAAAGAACTGAATAACTTTTGAATCTGAAATGAAAAATATGGGAACATGGTATTTGGTCTTTTGTACAGTTATTGGTATCTTTTCTAGATAATTCCATATTAAATGCAACATAACTTTCGTATCAGGTATGGAAAAGAAGAATAAAAATAAAAGCAAACTATTTTTAAGCACTTTTCCTAGTATTAATTTGTCCAATATTACCAGCACACTTAGTGAAAGGTAACCAAACTAAGTCTGTAACTGCCAAAAACAAGCATCACATCTTTTTCAGACTGTTTAATGGATCCATATAACAGCTATAGTCTTGCTGCAATAAATCTGGATTAGCAACGATATCTAAGATTAAAACAGCCTTTCAACACTTTAGAATACTAGTTGTATGAAAACTAAGTTGTATATTGCACAAACAGATTTTGTTTAAATTTATGATTTTCTCACAGACAGTAAAGTTGGAAGAATCTCTCAAGAAAGTAACACAACAAATGCATCAGATACAACGGTAAGAGGTGTAATGCAGCAAAAGTAAATGAGAAATAGTTTTTGTAACCAGACAACAGTAAGTTTAATTGATAAAAAAGTCATGCTTTGTCTGCCTTTCTCATATATTGTGTTGTATATATAGAAGCAGCATATTTTTACAGAAATAGATGAACAGTGATTTCTGTCATCATGTCCATTTTCTTCACATTAATCAAGCCTGTCAGGAAGGAATGCTTTTATTTTTAAAGTGAAGTTAGTAGTTACTCTAAAAATGAACTTTTTTCGATCTCTATCATTTAGATATTCAGTTTGAAATTTTTTATTTGCATTTACATGAACTTGTTCATGTTCTTTTCAATGGGCTTTACAGCATCACCCTGGAAAGTGCTATAATATCTGTCCTTCTATCTATCCCGTTTGCAAAGTTACCACAGTTTTGTAACATGACTCTCATCTTCTCTGTTTCTAGTAAAAATCAACTTCTTGAGTCATCTTAAATTAGTCTTTTTTTAAAAATGAGTCAAAGAGATAGGCAAGAGGTATCTCAACATTATCCCCCTGCACGTTAGCTGATACACCTTAATATTTTAATCTTATTTATTTCCAGTGTAAAGCCAAAGTTCTTATTGATCCCTAAGTGCTATTACTTTTAATTTCATTACATTTTATTTCAATTATTTGTTTGAAAATATGACATTTTAAAAATTTTTATATAGTTCTTAATATTGATGTAACTTTCTATCTTTAGAACTTTCTGTCTTCGGATTTCACAAAGTGCAAGCTACCCTTGGGTCATCAGGGAGTACATTAAACAGGATCAGTTGCAAGAGTAAACCTAAGGGGACATGATTAATAACATTTCTGCACTCTCTTTGCCCTTTTTTGTTGTTGTTTCCCTTTTAACACTACGATGTACTTACCTGAATTAATCACTTTTGTCTCTGCTTCAAAGTCCACATGACCTACTTAACACTACGATGTACTTACCTGAATTAATCTTCTCTGCTTCAAAGTCCACATGACCTATACAGCACACTAGTGTTTAAGTCAAATTAATGCAGAAAAAATATACTATCCTACTACTGTTTAAAAAAATCTACTTGCCAGAACATAAAACAAAAGCAAAAAGATATCAGATTTATCTACTGTGATCCACCTATGGTGAAATTATTACAGTTTCCGTATAATATTTTTTTCTATGTCCTATTTTATCCTTCCTAAGATTTTGAAAAATACTGGGAAAAAAACCCAACAGGCTTGGTCTGCTTTTCCCTTTTAGTGAATATGGGTGTTAAGAGTACTTAGTGTATGGTTACAGTGTACTTCTCTCTATAGATCCATCTTCTTGGGAGAAGCCCTTCACGAATGCCATTTTATGAATACCAGTGATCACAGATGCTGAAATCTCTTTTATAAGCCAGTTCGTGAAACCAGCAATTTAATTGCAAAATTTTGTTGATCTTTATTCCTTTTCTGTGTTTTTTCAGTGTAGACTTTCTTTTGACTCTGACATGCACATAATACTGTGTTATGCTTTCTTATGCTGCTTGGTGTAACATAACTGAAAGAAATACAACGTAAAGGAAACTATGTATGTGGTGGATTATCATAGTTTATATATTTTTATCTGCTGCCTCCTTTTTCTTGTTTGCATCTCAAATAAATAGTATCTTGGTTATACCAAATACAGAGTTCTTACTAAACTTCAGATTTTTCAGAGCTCTACTGAGAGAGTGTGACTTATGGCTTCTCCTTGCATGCCCAGTAGACATATTCCTTCTGTTTATGGTTATTGGCAAAGGGATCAGTTTTACATATCTGTTGGTGAATAGCATAAATATGCCAACATTGCTTTTGATAACTAGATTTTTTTAGAGTTTGGGAAACATGTACATCAAGATGAAGATTTTTGTCTCAACTGTAGTTAAGAGATATATTTTAACATCTGTTGTTCCATAAATTACTTTGCCATAATACAATCCTAAATTGATATTGTTGGGCATGTAATGACTGATATAGACATTACGATAGTTAATAGTTTATCAAATAGATTGTTATTTTTCTTCATGGCAAATTGTGTCATCTCAAAACTAGCTATTAATAGATAAAATACATTGATTTTATGCTTTATTGACCAGCAAGACGAATGAACTAATCAAAGTAGCTTCAATTTATATCTGTTGTTTCTTCTGTTTCCCCTTTAGTATGAAACCTCTTGAACAAACTACACAACTACCATTTTCCAGTGCAAGCAGAAATCCGCTTACTGGTAAGAAGTGTTGATTTAAGATACCAACTATGGAATACATATCACTGGATACAGCTATGTTCTAATATGAAATTTATTAATTACTTTAGTTCCTTCAAGAAACCAGAATGGTTATTCTTCATGGTCTCTTCATCCTAGTCATCCTTCCACATCTGAAATGTAGGTACAAATCTATTAGTTTTCAATGAAAACCTTAACAGTGACAACATAGTGATATTTTATACACCAAGCCATTTTTTTTGTAGTAAGTCTAAAATAAGTATATTTTCTGATTTTGTTTCTGCAAACTGTGTAAGTATGAACTGGGGGTGATCTTATGTATCCAAGTGAACATAATAACTACTTGTATAGATTGCCTTTGTACTCACTGGAAAAAAATTCTAAGGCATGATGCAGCTTATTCTAAAGACTTTCTCGATAGATATATTGATTAATTAGTGAGGAACTCTTCCCATTGACTATAGGGAAAAACTAAATGACTACAGACACCAATATGTACAACGTAGTTGTCGAAATTTAGATGGGATGAACTCCAGTAAGGCTTATTAAATTTTAAATAAATTAAACATACAGCTTGCTCAAGCTAAAAAATTTCTATACCTGTGACTGTGACTTTATTTTTTATAAAAAATAAAATTCCAGAATGCCCTTATGATGGAGACAAATGACAAATATATAAATATGCATGTTTATTCTGACTTAAATACAAGAATGACAATATTAGTCATAAATCAACTTTCTCTGTAAATGTCTAAACAAAGCTCAGAATCAATTAATAGATTTTTCTTAATACTATCAGGTTTTGGAACAAGTCCTAAATTCTCATATGTGTTAAGCATTATGTATTATGTCTTTCCAATATTAGTCAAATTTAACATGGGAATATAATGTAATTTTAGTCATTATAATGAATGTATTATTTTTATTACAATGCCATATTTATTTTGACCTATGTTTAAGAATGGATTCAATGGAGATTGATCCTGTACCTTCACCAATGAGGAAAGTAAGTGGTTTTTTTTTACGTGTGTTTATATATAGATATAGACACACACATATATACACATACACATGCTTTTAATTTCTCCTACTCCATTAATACTGCAAAAAATAGGATCCTGCCCCCCCATTCAAAGCAATTCTTATAAACATGCTGATTTCAGCCATGACTGATGCTTAGTAGAAGTCAGATGCTCCCCAAAAAGGAATCAAAAGGAAATAACTCACAACATCATTGATTTCTGGATTTACATTCTCCACATACAATACACAGGCTTTTAAACATCTGATGCTAAATTAAACGGCAAATTCATAAAATCTTAGTGTTTTTATATTATAAAAGTGTCGTAACTGTTTCTAAAATAAGTGTTGCTAATATATTAAACTGAGAGTTGCAATTAAATTTAAGTTCTAATATACTAAGGAATGAAAATATATGTAAGATTTCCACCTTCACCAGACCTCATGTAGGTATCTGCAGTGCAGATCTGTGCTAGCATCTCAGGATTTTCTTTATAACCTATGGATTGGCTATATCCATAGATAGACCTTTATCCATAGTTATAACCTATGGATCAGTATGTGTGATTCATCTCACTCTAAAGGAAACTTGTTGGTCTCATTTCTGTTTCTCTTCCTGACCATAAAGGGAATTTGGGGGGATCAGGCTGGATGTAAATACTGTCATTGCAGATGTCTGAAGTTACAAGAGGTGGATCACTTGACACTCTTAACTTCACATCACACTGATTTTCTAAACATTCTGGAAATTTCATTTATGATGGATAAAAGGTTTTTTTAAGCCACAAATCAAACCAGTCATTAGCTTTCACCTTTCATAAACAATTTTGTTTGCTGCTTGAGCAGGTGATCTTGCTTCTGTCTGTGCTCAGGGGCATTGATGTGTATATAGTACCTTCACATGTTAAGAAAAAGCTAGGTGTAGAAGTCAATGGTCTGAAAGCAGTGTTGAACATGATATTTGACTTGAGGACTTCTTGGAATAAAACTGAAATACATGCACTCCTCGCCTCAGATCTCTAAAAAACAGTAACTGAATTCTGAGGCTTTGCACTTTAGTGCTATGAACAAAACTGGCAGCGGAGAGCATCAGAAATCTGCAGGCTTTATAGACCTCAAAAATGTAACACTGTCACTCAAAATACCTTAATAATTAACATACTTATTACACAGTAATTAATACCTTGCCATTCATTTAGCCTGAGACACCGACTGGTCCAACAAGATTATCATTAATAACTCCACCGCAAGATGGACGCATGGGTGAGTTAAAATAAAGCTTGTAACTGGATAACATTTGTATTATGTGAAGAGGATTAATAAATTAAAATCCATACATTAGTAATTCACTGAGCAAACTTGAAGCGCGTTGAGGTATAAGTAACTTATCAAGTAGACATCAATCCAGCATATGGGAAATGGTTAAAAATGAATAATGAAATGTCTTACTAGTACTGACCTACGCTGTTCTGTGAATAATTGCTTGTAACCCTAATGATTTTTGCTGAGCAATCATAGTCAACAGTTACAAATTAAATACTGTAATGATGTGTACGGATGAACAGAACAGACAAACTTGCAATATATGTTGGTGATTTCTTGACCATCTATTAACCTTCATGATTATATTTATTTATAGTTACCAGAGATTAACATTGTCCATAATGTCATGTTAAAAATCAAATGAGGAAAAGGGGGGAAACTAAATGGAAGTTACAAAAGTATTTCATAACCAAAGCAAGGTAACTGAGATCGAGTTTCTTCAGAGAGTGTTTTTGGTTGGTAGGTTTTTTTTTTTTCACTGTATCACTGTAATAGAGTGATACACTCTGACGTAAATAAGACATGAATAACAGCCTACTGAAATTAGTGCAGTCTCCTTGAGTACTGCTTATCTGTGAGGAGTTTCCCAGAATTCTTAATGCTCTGCAGGTCTACAATTCATATGTCCCTCCCAATCTCGGTTTTACATTCAGCATATTTCTGTAACAGTCCATTCTCAGGCAGTCTTTCACCTGGCTTCAGCACGTGCTAAAGTTTGTAGATGACACTAAATTGGGTGGGA